TCTGTAACCATCCTTTTTCACGATTCAGCTAATCAACTTAAACAAACCTAGTTGTACGAACCCTTCATATGGCCTCTATTGTCAATCGATTAAAACATTAAAATAATGCGACTATATATGGTTTCCTCCAAACAACTTTAGAATATTACTAGATAAGGGCTTTTTATCAATTTTTTTAATGGAGCATAGCTAATGAAGATGAGTTCATCATCTCTATGATTTCTTTTTTAAATTGATTGAAACAGACAGAAATGATTGATTGTACGAACCGTTCATATGAACCCCTCTATTGTCAATCGATTAAAACATTAAAATAAAGGGACTATATATGGTTTCCTCCAAAAAACGTTCTCTGCATCTGAAGAAGACTAGTCCTAGTCAGTATTATCATTAGATTGACGCTTCCAAATGAACTTATTATGAGGGAACTGTTCTTTAAAAATGATATTGCACATCCATTAGCATAGTACTAGAATGGGGTTTTTATTAATTTTGATTATAAACTGAGTTCATCATCTCGATGACTTCTTTTGTGAATTGATGGAAAGAGACAGAAATGATTGATGCAATACAATAAATCGTTTTACATCACTAACGATGAACGCATTTGGCATCAATCAGCCACAAGTCCGAAGAAACGCCAATTCGCTGAAAATCTTCGCGGTCTTTTGCAGCACTTGTTCATAACATATATGATTGATTTTGTGGACATACATACATATGTACATACATATATATGTATGAACATATGCTAAAGGCATACACACAAGGTTATGACCCGACGCGATGCAACAACAATTCAATCGATCAAGCAAACGACTTACGCAAACTAAGCCATATGTTGTAATAAGTTTCTAATAAACAATAAGCGGCGCAACAAGATATAGTATAATAACAACAACAGCAACTGCTCCGAAATGGCCATACAAATAAAACAAAAGACCCACAACGCACATGCACAACACAACACAACAGCAACAGCAACACCAACAACAACACACACAAATTTATAATCACCGATGACCATGTCATACACGCCCCTAAGACCGCAAAAAAAACCAAAAAACAACAAAAAAAGAAATGAGCAGAGGAAAAAAGGAGCGTCCTCTAAGCAAAAACGGCAAATGAGGAGAAAACTAATAAATACCAAAGTGCCAAGCGACGAGAGTAAAAATGCAAACGTTAAACATTTTCTAGTTAAGTCACGTTGTTGGTCGTCGGTTGTTGGTTGTTGTCTGCTGTTCGGCTGTTCGGCTGGTCTGCTCGTCTGCCGGACTCTGGACCCTTTGGACATTTGGACACGCTTGCTTATCTAGCGCTAACAGAGGCACAAAGGATGCCTCTAACTGAGGAGAGACCTCAACGACAGCAGCCGCAGCGATAATCTCAACTCAATTTGCTGTCCTGCAGGATCAACAACAGCAATGGGCCGTGGTCGCGTAACTTCAAACCAATTTCTGTGGAAAAAGGCGGTCTCGCTTGTGTAAGCTGAAACACAAAGTGCAGCGCCCAAGTACGAGCATCGTCCAGGACTCGAGCCTTGGGCATTGAGCCTCGAGGATCGCCACTTGTCACGGCAACTGCCGCTGACATTTTAGAGAGCTGCTAGTGCCGCTGTCTCTGTCGTTATCCCTGTCCCTATCCCTGTCGCTGTCCCTATCCCTGTCGCTGCCAGCCAGCCACTTCAGAGTCAAGTGGTTGTGTAACATTTTTATTATTTACAACTTTGATCAAAATTAGAGCTATCAAGTGGTTTACCCAAAAAAACGAAACAAAAAGGAGCAACTGAACCCAAAGAAAGTCTTTCACTTATAGAAAGAGAGAGAGAGAGAGAGGGAGGGCGAGAGTGTAGGTATAGATGAGGCTTGTTAGGATCATAAATCTAAATTAACATGCCTCATCATATTCTAGAACAGTATCTGCTCTCATGTACGAACGTGTGACATTATTTTGAACCGCAGCCAAGTGCAGACATACATACATATGTATAAGTATACTTGTAGGTGGTGTCGGTTAGCGCCAAATTCGGAGAACTTTGGGCATCAAATAGACTTCTCCTTGGCAATTATTCACAACCAGGCGTCACTTGAGCGTGCAGTAGTCGCTCCACTTGAACTGGTCATACGATGACTGAAAGGGCTAGACAGTAGTAGGAGAGATGAGAGAGGACTGAGTATCGTAAAGAGTTTAGAGACACAATGAAAGTAGTTACAAAAATGGGCAACAACTCTTCCCCAATAATATATATTCGAAAAAGATGGTTTGTTGATGAAGTAAAATCATTTTGAGAGAAAATGTATGGTAAAGATGATAGAAAATATATGGGAAATCAAAATGATTGCATGATTTCTGATCATCAGATGCTTCTAGTGAGGAGATTGAGAGTTCGGCCTGAAGTAGCTTAGAGTATGAAGTGTAACTTCAACATAAGATCGAGTTCAGAAACGTCTCACCATCCCTGTCCCAATCCCTAGATAACACGAGCTTAGTTTATTCGTTCGATATGTATTTAATATAATTCCGAAAAAATGTGCTGTCAGCATTAGTGAAGAAGACAGAATGTTACAGCTCGAGCTTGGTTCCATGTCTGGTTGATTTACCTTTTCCGAAATCTTCGCGTTCATACAGACGGACATGGTCCGCGTCTTGGCAAACTGATTATTACTGCAGTATTTACTACTTTAAGGCTCCCAATGTAAAGCGAATTAGAGAGTTCTATTGTATCGTACAATAATAGATCGAGTTTCGAATCGGAAGATGATGGAAATACTTTTGTTCTGCAAAAGTGAAGTGATTAGTGTTTACTATCAAGTACGTATTAGCTGCTTAAATAAAATGCCACCTAAAGTTCTGGAACTCTGCTTGGTTTTAGAATCCAAATCCGTCTAGCATTCAAAATACTCTGCTTTAAGAATTCACATCCAATATATTTGTGTAGCTCCCATATTTTCTACCTCTGAGCAGTGAGAATCATACTAGATTCAAGGCATAGAAGATGCCTTTAAGCTTCACCTGTCTGGATTGGCAACGGTGAGGCGTTGGTGTCAATTGTCTGTCCCTCAAGTTGCGGGCTCCATAAAACATGAGCCAGGCATGAGCGTGGCTTGACAGGCGCGCCGCCAAATGGCCAAAAGGCAATTGGCCAACAGCGTATCGAGGTATGGAAGTAGACGAAATCATTTAGAGAGTTGAGGCTACTAAATGACTAAATCATTTGTTTTTGCCTTCAGCTTGCCATGCTGTTTGTGTGTGTGTGTGTGTGCGTGTGTATGTGTGTGTGTGTGTGTGTGTGTGTGTGTGTGTGTGTGTGTGTGTGTGTGTGTGTGTGTGTGTGCGTGTGTGTGTGTAGTTTTGAAGCCCATACTTAAAATTACACTTTCGCCCGGGCCGAGATTTTTCTGTTGTTTTGAGCAGAGAGACGAGAGCAAGAAAAAGAAATATTTTCAGACCATTAACTGAACAGCAACCAAAACAGAAAGCAAGGCATGCTACAACAACAACAACAGCAACAACAACAACAACTGCAATAACAACTACAACTACAAAACAAAAACAGAAACAGAAACAGAAAAAAAGCGATACATAACCTCAGTGGGTACTCGTATTTGTATTTTACACGCAATAAAAATAAAAGACTTGAAGAAAAATTAACAAATCATAACATCATCATTTATCATCATTAACTCGAGTCGCAACAAAACTGCGGCGCTTACTTGCTTGCCACACGGTGTGCTGGTTCTTCATCTGTACTACATACTTGTATATCCATCCATACGGATCGTATGTCCAGAGATTGCTGCTTACCCATAGCCAGACCCTATGGCCAGCCCTCTGATGGTCCACATCCAAACCCAAAGCCATAGCCAAAGCCACAATGATGCGCACACACAACTTTAGTTATAAATCAATCAGATTTTTTGGTATTTAGTATTCAAGCAGACACTGTAGCGAAAGGGAACTGTCCGAAAGGGGTGGGGAGTAATGCAGAGCTCAGTAGAGGAGTGGGGGGAGGGGGGAGGGGAGAAGAGTCATGTCGATGTTTTATTTTTTTCAGTTGTTTTTTTTTTCTGAGGGGCGTAGCATTTGGCCCGAAGCTGAAACAAAATGTTTTGCGGTCAATGCGGCGTATGATTAACGTGCGTGTGAAGCTGTTGGGCAGCCTTATCACACCTTACAGGTGAGGCTGGCCCAACTATTGGAGAAGAGCATCTCCAGTCGCAATCTTCTCCACTCTGCTAATGAAAATCGGTGCAGTGTGTGTGTGCAGAGTGTCAACCGCAACCAATGGGGAAAATCTAAATAAAAACAGGCGGCGATTCATGGGCTGGGCACGGCGCTCACTCAACTCGAAAATTGATTGATGGCACACACACACACACACACACACACACAAACTCACACACATAGAAGCACACGCACACTGGCATATGCATAAATCAATATTTTATATTGGCCATCGATCGTCGCAGGCGATTGCTTTGCAATCTTCGCGCCATCGCCACCGCAAATTCCCCAAACATGGCTGCATCTCTGGAAGGCTCTGCGACAACTTGCAGTTAATTATAAAACGAGGGGTGGCTCACAATTAAGCCAGAATGGTGACTGGGATCCGACCAGGCCAAGACGGGCCAGTCAATTAGCATTATAGATCTCTGAAGATAAGAGCCAATAAAGGAAAAACAAGCTCAGATTACTTTGCAACTGTTGGCCAGCTAGTTGGCTGAACGAATAATAATAACTTGCAGTACTCATTGGGACCAGAAACACCAGAAACTATCACAATTTGCTTTTCTATATTTTATTTGAGACTCATTTCAACTTTTTACGTTCCCTTCCCATGTGTCTAGCTTTGTTTTTAAATACCAGTAGCTCGAATGGAGAGGAACACCTGGTGACATCCTTGTTTACTATAATTCAAGATAATTCAAGAAATCGAAAGAAATTAGCAGACTTGTCAAGAAAAGAGAATATTTTGTTCTTGTTGTATTTGCAGAGAGAGTTCACTCTATTTCCAATAATTGTTCCTAAGTGGAAAATTGTTTCAAAGAATGTTACACATGAGATATTTTCGGTTTATTTTGTCCATTTTTAACTGGGAAATGGGTATACTAGTTTAGTCTAGCACACAGAAGAAGTCGTGACAGAGAGTATTCATGTATTTTCCTTCCAGATCAGTATGACAAGAAGAGTCGATATGCATAGCAATGTCTGTCTGTATGAACGCTAGAATCTCGGAAACTATAAGAGCTACAGTAACCAGACTTGGTATCCAGATTTTCCAAATTTTAATCGGTACACCCCCCCTTGTCTGCTTTCAAAAAAAGGTTTTGAAACACAAAAAGATTTCAAACTTGTTTCCTTTCCAATTTTGTGTATCATTTAATATAGTTTTCCTTTTTTTGTACTCCTTTTTCGAAATTCGATTTCGAGTTTCAAATCCACATAAATATTGAATCCCACCCATTAGAAGAAGACTGCTAGATTAGTGTTTTCAATATATTTTGGTTTTTATTATAGTTTTTTTGTTGTGGTGTGTATTTTTGCGCACTTTCCTGTGCACATCATTTATCTTATAGACAATTAACAAATATTACGACTCTTTCGATATATATTACAACTATAGTCGAGAGGGATATATTTATATATATGTATACAGTATAGTTATATATTGTTAATATGTTATATACATACATGCAAAAAAAAATGCTTGACTATGCTTATTTTGTATCTTAGATTATTGAAAAAAAAAAATTGAAAAAAAATGTGTTTTTTTTTTTGTTTTGTTATACTATACTTATACCTATAACTTTTTTTCGATTTTGTTTTTGTGCTTGGTTTTTCTTCTTATTCTTCTTCTTCTTCGGGTTACTTCAGCTCCTTCTGCTTTACTTAACAACAACAATTAGCGACTAAGAAAACAAAACTAGAGAGGGGCATCGGTCTACGGTTAGGATTGATTAGAATGCTTCTTTATATAGAATGATATAAGTATGTGTGTGTATACTATATACTTTTCGTTATATATATAAAAGCCGTGTTATATGGCGGTTTCAACCGAGCGCAACAAGAAAAAAAAACTCATTTGTTCATAATGAATAACAACAACAAGAACAAGAATTTGGAGACGCCGCCTAGGCGGTGGCATGCGGATGCTGATATGCCGCCGCCGCAGCCCACGCATTATGCGCATGATGATGATGATGGTGGTGGTGATGGAAGGCGGCTGCCGCTGCCGACGAGGCTCCGTAGCCGGCGCTCGGAGCGAAGTCCGCATAGTTGGCATACTCGGATTTCATGTGACCGATGAGGCCCGAGTAGCCACCAGCACCACCGCCGACATTGACATTGACATTGAGGGTGCCGTTGGCGTTGGAGGCGCCACAGCTGTTGCTGTTGCTGCCACTATCGCTGGCCCCACTGGCCAACCCGGACATGGTGAGTCCATATTCGGCGGCCAGATGCGATTCGCTCTGCATGGCCAGTGCTGCGTAATGATGCTGCTGGTGCTGATGGTGCGCCGCAGCGGCAGCAACAGCCGCTGCCGAGCTTGAAATCGAAATGGAACTGGATGCGGATGCGGATGCAGCGCTCGAGGATTGTATGCCAGAGTTGTTGTTACTGCTGCTGCTGGTGTTGCCGTTGCTGCTGTTGGCTGAGGTAGTTTGCTGGTTGCTGCTGCTGTTGCTGCTACTGCTGGCGCTGCCGTTGCTGCTGCTGTTGCCAGCGCCTGCGGACGAGGCTGACGACGACGACGACGATTGCTGCTGCTGTTCAATGGCACTACGTTGACTGTTCCACAGCTCCAAGGTGGGCTGTTGTTGCTGCTGCTGCTGCTGTTGCTGCTGTTGCTGCTGCTGACCGGCATATCCGGCTGCCGATGTTTGATGTTGCGGCTGGAAGAGCGCGCTGCTCTGCTGATAGAGATTGCTGTAGGGATGAGCGTAACCGGCAATCGGCACCTCCGGCTGTTCCGTCTTAAACTGCAGCGGGGCAGCAATGCTGGTGGGCGTGGCATCCGTCTTTGGCGCCTTCTTGCCGCCCTTCTCGGCCGCAACTGCTGCCTTCTCCTGCTTAATGGCCGCAGCCTGCTCCTTGGCCTCGGCGGCCAATGCCTTCTTGCTCTTCTTATCCTTGAAATGTGTCTTCTTGTGCTTGCTCAAATGGTCGCTGCGCGAGAATTTCTTGGAGCAAATGGGGCACGCATAGGGACGGTAATTAGTGTGAGTGCGTCCATGACGCTGCAGCTCGTCGGAGCGTGAGAAGCGCTTGCCACAGGTGAGGCACAAGAAGGGCCGTTCCCCAGTGTGCCAACGCAGATGCGTCTTCAGATGCGAGGCCTTGCCGTAGAGGCGCTCACAGCCCGGTATGTGGCAGATATGCTGCTTGCGGCCACGCTCATCCGGACCCACAATCGGTGGCAGGCCGCTCATCTCGTTGGTGCAGTTGGGGCACGTGCAGCGCACCGAACGCCGTTGCAGTTGCGTCTGAAATGCGATGTCATCGAAATTGAAGCTGGGATAGCTCTGCGAGGACCACGGCTGGTACAGACGATCCTGGGAGAACCAGCCGGCGGCCGCAGCCGACGCAGACATGCCCACGGCATTCCCATAATAATCCGAGGCATACTGTGCGTAAGGAAATTGGGTTCTAAAAACGGGAAGGAACAGAAGAAAAACGTACAACTATGAGTGGGCTGATGGATTGATTTATAAAAAAAAAACTAATGAGGTATGCTCCGAAAAAGGGTTTTAGTTCTCAAAACTAGGATTCTTTTACATCAAAAAATGCTCAAACAAATTTCAGCAACTCTCACTGATTCTACGATAGTAGAAGACTAAATGTCAATAATATTCTTAACGCGAACACAGATTTTTGCAAATTTTCAAAAATATTCATAATTTCAGAAATCTTTTCAGCTTTTACTTCGACTTTTTGTTCAGCGTAAAATCAAAATACAAGAAAGTTAGTTTCCAACCTCGGTCAAAATAATTCGAATAGAACTTTTGAAATTACATTTTAGAAATCATGTTCCAGCATCTGTCTATGCAAACAATTTCAGATTTTCTATTTCTTCTTAAAGATCTCAAGAGCAGTTTGAATACGATTTCAGATTTATTTTCAAATGGAAAACCCTCTGAGCAACAATAGGCATTACAAGAGAACTAGAGATCTTTTCTTTCTGATTTAGAATGCATTCTGGTTAATGATTAATTTATTCAATTTACCGAGCTAAGATAAATAATGGAAACAATAGAGGAATGGAGCAGACACTTACCTTGTGGGCAGGGCCGTGTAGGCAGCGGCGGTGTTCCAACCATAGGCGGCACTGGCGACTGCTGCTGCACCCAAGTCAGCGGCGGCGGCGGCTGCTGCTGCGGCGGCCGCAGCTGCAGAGGATGCGGACGAGGAGCCGGAGCTGGCTGGTGTGCCACTGCTGGGAGTGCTGGCCGTCGGTGAGATGGCGTGGTGAGCGGCCACAGCCGCTGCTGGCGGACTGGCGCTGATGGAGGCGAAGGATTGGGCCGGCGAGGGGAATATGCTCGGCGATACGGAGGCCGATGAGGGAGCCGATTGTATGCTGGAGTTGGGGGACACGGTGCCTGTGGATGATGCCTGTGGCGGATATTGCATTTCCATTTTCAGGGCTGTGCAGGAAGCAGGCGGCAATTTGCTGCTGATGGTGCTGCTGCTGCTGCTGCTGCTATTAATGTTGCTGCTTCCGTATAGTGCCAAAGGCGAGGAGGAGGTGGAGCAGCTCGAGGATGCTGCTGTGGAGGCCGACAGCAGTGTGGCGCTAATGAAATCATGATGTGGCTGATGGTGCGGGTGCAGGTGGGGGTGGGGTTGTGAATGCGACTGCAATTGCTGCTGCTGTTGCTGTTGTTGCTGCTGCTGTTGCTGCTGTTGTTGTTGCTGCTGCTGCTGCTGCTGGTGTTGCTGCTGTTGTTGTTGTTGCAATTGCTGCTGATGCGCATAGGGATTCAAATAATTGCAGGCGGCGTCAATCATTTTGGCAATTTGTAAGCGTGCGCCTCACTTTGATTAATAGTTGTTGCTGTGTTTTTGTTATTTAATGCTCGTTGTTGTTGTTGTTGCTGTTGTTGCCCTGCAATTGCTGTTATTGTTGCTGCTCTTGTTGAAGCTGTTGCTGTTGCTGTTGCCACTTCTCAGCAATTTTCACACATTGCGCGTTTATTGATTTAGTTTGCTTTTGATTATGGTTATTAAACCACTTACTGCTGCTGCTGCTGCTGTTGTTGCTGTTGTTGCCGTTGTTGCTGTTATTGTAATGATGGCACGCTTTTTAGTTTAATATGCGCTTTTATAATTATAGTCTATCAAATGCGCCTCGCGGGCAAGTACAAGAATGGAATACAACAACAACCACACAAAAAAAATTCTGATGATTATTGTACAAAAGTTCGCGAACGCACGCACCAAAAATTGTTGCTGTTGCTGATGTTGCTGTTGTTGTTTTGTTGTTGTTTTCGTTTTTGTTTTATAATTACGATGCACGGCGTGGCCAACAACACATGCAACACACAAGCACACACACAAACACTAGCTTGTGCATGCACACACACACACACACACGCACGCACACACACTCAGAGAGAGGCAGGAAAATGTTGCCAACGAATGTTGCTACCGTTGTCAATAATTTGCACAGTGGCACAAACTTGTACAAAAAAATAAAGTGTGTAAGTATATATAATTCCGACGCTGCAAGGCTGCCTTGTCGGGCTGTTCGTTGTTGCTGTTGCTCTTGCTGTTTTCGTTGTCGTGGTCGCAGTGCTCGTTGTTTTCTTAGGAGCGGGCAGGGCGCGCGGGCAGAGTTCGGTTATTCGGTCTCGGTCGCTGCGCTCGAGGTACAACCACCGGTAATTATCGTTGTCGACTGAATTCCAAAACGCAGCGAGAGAGTCTAACAACGTACAAAACGAATCACTGATGACGGCGTCGGCAGCGCTGCAGCCTCTGTGTGTGCGTGTGCGTGTGTGTATGTGGCCATGTATTGTTGCTGCTGCTGCTGCTGCTGTTGGTCGCTCTCTGTGTGTGTGCATGGGTGTTTGTGTGTGTGTGTGTGCGCGCCAGCTAGACAGCTAGCTAGTGCTGAGCTACTCTAACATTGTGATTGTTATGGCCATAACTGTGGCTATTGTTGTTGTTGCTGCAGCCGCAACCACTGCTGCCGGCATTATTGTTGTTGGCTGTCTTCACGACTCTTGCTGGTGGTGGTAACAGCTCTCTCCATCTCACTCGCACACAAACTCACACTCGGCTTATTGTTGTTACCACTGCTGCTGCTGCTGCTGCTTCTGCTTCTGCTCCTTCTACTGTGTAGTGCTGTTGGGCCTCTGCGCCTGCAGGCGTTTTGTTTTAATTTCTATGTGTGGGTTTGTGTGTCAAAGCAGCAATTGGGTGAGCATTACTTTTGGTTCTTCACACACATACAGTCCTTCTGCATGTACACATCTACATATGTATATGTGTGTTGCGGTGTTGTCTTTTGGGATTAGCTGACGGCTATTTAGTCCAAAGTCCAACAAATTTAAAAGGACACCTTTAATTCCCAAGGTGGCCAAATGAAAGCACTTAGCACCTTCAACTAATACGCAATAGGCTATTTACTAATTTAATAGCAAACTAACTTATAGCGGCAACAGCATATGGGTTTCTACTTTTTTTAATTTGATAACATAGTTTGTAGATATGTACACACATACTTGTAAGAAATACTTGTTACAAGATACGTGTGCTTCCAATATTTATATTTTATGTATATCAATAGAAAATACAAATTGTGTTCTCTTAATGGAGGCCGAACGGTTTCCATAATTGGAGTTCGATTTTTAGAGCCTCCTTAACGGACTTGAAGTTATCTTTTCTGCTACTTTCGTAATCATGTTTCTTCACGTTCGATAAGCTTTTAAGCTTTGCTGGTTATTTGTTTAGTCTCCGATTCTGCCAACTTCGGCATAAAGTTTTCCCTCCGAAATCGTTGATGCTTTCCACGAAAGAAAATAGGATAGAATAAAAGATAAGACTCGAGAGACGCACAGTTAGTGCTTCATTTTGCACATTTCTCTATCTTGTATAATGTAAGAGAAGAAATGTTTCTTTAAAGTGCCAAAATTATGATATAAAAAAAATTTTTTTTTTTTTAGGAAAAGTTTGCATTCTTGTGTAAAATCGATTGAAAATGAAAGACACTTATTTTTCACTAAGTTTATCTCAAATGGAGGCTAAATTTAAAAAACATTTCACCACTTTAACTTACTTAGGTAACTCAATTAAAGTAAATTTTAAATGAGATGTTTTTATAAATAACCAAAAACTTCAATAAACTCAATAAAATACTTAGTATCCAAATCGCTAAATAATAGTGCTGTTTATAATAATTAGTAAATAAATGCACTTATTAATATCTTGTCTCGCCAATTTAATGATTTCGAGTGATGGACAGAGGTTTACAAATCGAACCATTTGATCCGGGCTACTTTAATAAAGTGAATTTATTTGGAAAACAATAATAATTTTATTTATTTTATGTCGACAAATATATACTATCGACAAAAATGTTTGCCATATAAAGTCGACCACACGTTCATTATTATGACGCACTATTTCGGCTTAAAATGGATCTGAGTTGGATTTGTTGAAGTTTTTTCATTGATCATATGCATAAGGTATTTTTTAAATGCATCGTGCATTATTTAATCAAAATGTTAATTTTAAGCAAGGAAAAAATATATTTATATGCATTAAACTAAACTTATTCTAATTGTATTTTCAAGGAAATAAATATGTTTATAATATTTGCACATTTTTAATCCCTCAAGAGCTCTCACACCTGCAAATAAAAGTAATCGAATAAGTAGAAAATGATAACAAATGTGGAAAATTCAAATAAATAAACGCTGCACCCCAAAAGCGTCAAAAGGTCTCGGAGCCAACAGCGCAGCAGACGCAGACGCAAACGCATAATTCAAATATCAATACAATAACAATAAAAACTAATAAATTTGTGGTCGCGGCCCAATGAAATAACTGTATTTAAAGGGGCGTTAACCAAACACCACACAGAGACGGTCGCAGCGACGGCGACGGTGGCGGCGATGACGACGACGACGACGCACAGACGATGGCGAAGGCAAAGGCGAAGGCAGTGACAGCAGCAGCAGCAGCAGCAACAACAACAACAACATCAACAACAATAGCAGCTGTAAGCGCGCTCGCTCTTTCTCACACAAACACACGCGCGCGCACAAAGCACGCACGCCCTAAGTGTGTGTATGTGTGTGAGAGTGTGCGTATAAATCACAGCAACAATGATGAGAACGGAAAAGGAGACGAGAAGACATTTCTCGCATCCTTTTGGATTGGATTTGGTTGCCGCCGTTGTTGTGGCTGCTCTTTTTATTTATTTGCATATGTACGCGCCTATATCCTCTATTCACGTTTTTCTTTTTATTAATTTTCTTATTGACTTTTAGGATCAGCTTTAGCCAAGCTTACAGCGACTGTAATGCAACGGTAGTTCGAATTATGCCGTCCTGCCACACCGCCCCTCTGCGCGCCCTTCTTGCTCTTTTCCGTTTGTCCTTGCCCTTGTCCTTGGCTTGTCAAACGCCTTCGGTGTTAATCAATTAATATGCTCCTTATCGCTTGGCTTTTTTCTCCCTCTCTCGCACAATTTTCCACTTACGCTCCTCTCCTGCTCTCCCACTCTCTCTCCCTCTCTTCTCTCTATTGGCACATGTTTGCGTTGTCTGTGCAGCGAAGCCAGCATTCAACAGCAACAACAACAGCAACACACATACGCCCATTGCATTTGTGTTCCTCCCCCTGCTCCTCCTACTTCTGGCTTCAGTCATCGCTTCACACCCCACCCCACCACATCCCACACCCACCTTCCCGCCCATTTTACACTACTAGGTCAACATTTTTTTTGTTGCCCCACCCACTAGATGGCAAAATATTGCGTTGGGCCATTTGTGTAATGTGGCTGCTTGCTCTTCATCCTCTTCCCCACCCACCCCCGATGATATTGCTGTATTGATGTGTAGATACATGTGTCGGTGTGTGTGTGTATGAGTGTGCGTGTGTGTGCGTGTGTGTGCGTGTGTGTGTGGCAGCCATGACCATGGCAATGAACTCCTTATTTTATGTTATTTTACACCGACAATTAGCATAAAGAAAGTGCTGGCGTCCATATCTAGTTCATACGTAGAACTTTGACCTTCAAATAAACTTTTTAAACCCATTCCAAGTTCCCTATTTGTAAGCCAGTCCCACTAGCACTCTACCTTCGTTGTAGTTCCTGAATATTTTTAGACATTAATCAGAAATATAAGCCGCTAACATTCGGGAATTGTTAGGAACTCAACATACACGTGAATAAGGGAAGCTCATCTACCTGCTTTAATGTCTCTAGCTTTTTTATGATCAGAGATACAGACGTTCATACAGACAAACACGAGCACACACGTGCAATAAATAAAATAAATGTTTTTGCAAACTAAATCGCATTATCTTAATTTGGAATTTTCATTAAATAGTTATTTGTACGGCAGTTCATAAAAACATAAAACGTTTCAACGAACCTTAAAAGTTAAAACAAATATCAAACAGCTCGAAATCAGACAATAAATCCATATGGAAATTAATCAATATGCCATTGAATATCTTGCGAAGCACAATTAAGGCGCTTAGCTTCCAAGTTAAATATAAAAAGTGTTGGCCTTCTTTTTATCTAGGTTACTTTTATTTTATTTGTGTTTTTCACTTCGTGCACCCTGCTTATAATTTATTACTGGACTCGATAGCTACATATTTGATTTAATCTTCCACTTTTTTAATATTTTATTATAGATAGTTATTTATTATAAATTGATAGTTTGGAGGAAACCATTTTCGCCAAAATTTATTCAATTTATTTGATAAACTTCTGCAAAGTGCCGCAGAAAATGCTAAACATTAGTCTGGTGTTCCTAACTATTACTATA